AACAAGAAAAGCCCAGCGTAAGCAGAAAGAAGGAAATAATAAAGATCAGAGAGGAGATAACCGACATAGAGACAAAAAAAAATACAAAAGATCAACAAACTCAAGAACTGGTTCTTTGAAAGGATAAACAAGATTGATGAACCTCTAGCCAGGCTCACCAAGAAGCAAAGAGAGAGGACCCAAATAAACAAAATCAGAAATGAAAGAGGCAAAGTAACAACCAATCCCACAGAAATACAAATGATTATGAAAAAATACTATGAACAACTCTATTCCAACAAAATGTACAACCGAGGTGAAAAAGACATATTCTTAAAAAAATACAAGCTCCCAAAACTCAATCAAGAAGAATCAAAAAACCAGAATAGGCCGATAACTACCAAAGAAATTGAAGCAACGATCAAAAATCTTCCAGCAAACAAAAGCCCTGGTCTGGATGGCTTTACAGGGGAGTTTTATCAAGCATTCAAAGAAGAACTAAAACCTATCCTCCACAGACTACTTCAAAAAGTCAAGAGGAAGGCATACTTCCAAGCTCTTTCTAGGAAGCCATCATTACCCTAATTCCAAAACCAAATAAAGACACCACAAAAAAGAGAACTACAGGCCAATATCCTTGATGAACATAGATGTTAAAATCCTCAACAAAATTCTAGCAAATTGAATACAGCATTGCATTAGAGAGATCATACACCATGACCAAGTGGGATTTATTCCAGGGATGCAAAGATGGTACAATATCTGCAAATCAATAAATGTGGTATATCACATAAACTGAGAGACAAAAATCACATAATCATATCAATTGATGCAGAAAAAGCCTTTGACAAACTCCAACACCCTTTCTTGATAAAAACTCTCAGCAAAGTGGGAATAGAGGGACCATACCTCAACATAATAAAAGCCTTATACGGCAAACCTATAGCCAACATCATACTCAGTGGACAAAAACTAAACTCATTTCCCCTACGAACAGGAACAAGTCAGGGATGCCCACTTTCACCACTGCTGTTCCATATAGTACTGGAAGTGCTAGCCATAGTGATCAGACAAGAAGATGAAATAAAAGGCATCCAAATTGGAAGAGAAGTAAAATTGTCCTTATTCGCAGATGACATGATACTATACATAGAAAACCCAAAGACTCTATCAAAAAACTATTGGACCTACTAAGTGAACTTGGTAAAGTAGCAGGATATAAAATTAACACCCAGAAATCTATGGCCTTTTTATACACTAATAATAAACTCATAGAAACAGAAGTGAAAAAAAATCCCATTTACCATTGCACAAAAAATTTAAGATACCTAGGAATAAACTTAACTAAGGATGTAAAATAAACTTAACTAAAGATGGAAAACTACAGGACATTGAAAAAAGAGATAGAGGAAGACCTAAACAAATGGAAGAATATACCATGTTCGTGGGTTGTTTGAATCAACATCATTAAAATGTCTACACTACCCAAAGCAATCTATAAATTCAACGCAATCCCCATTAAAATACCAGCGGCATACTTCAAAGACCTAGAACAAACTCTCCAAAAATTCATCTGGAATAAAAAAAGACCCTGAATAGCTGCAGAAATCTTGAGAAAGAAGGACAATGTAGGTGGGATCACAATACCAGATATCAAACTATACTACAAAGTCACTGTTCTTAAAACTGCCTGGTACTGGCACCAGAACAGACATATAGACCAGTTGAACAGAACAGAGAACCCAGAAATCCACCCACCCAAACCACTATGCTTAATTAATATTTGACAAAGGAGGTAATTGCATACAATGGAGACAAGACAGTCTCTTCAATAAATGGTGTTGGGAAAACTGGACAGATACTTGCAAAAACATGAAACTAGACCACTATACACAAAAATAAACTCAAAATGGATAAAGGACTTAAATGTAAGATGGGAAACCATAAAAATCTGAGAAGAAGCCATAGGCAGCAAAATAGATTTGACCCTGTGATCCCACTTCTAGGAATATATCCCAAGAAACCAGAAACACCAATCAGAAAGGATATATGCACCCCTATGTTCATAGCAGCACAATTCACCATAGCTAAGATTTGGAAACAGCCTAAGTGCCCATCAGTAGATGAATGGATTAGAAAACTGTGGTACATCTACACGATGGAATA